CTGGTTGGATTTTCTGGTGAGCGTGTACAAACGAAAGGATACATCAAGTTATCCACTCGTTTTTGTTCCGATGGACCCGAAGTCAAAGACATCCCGATCAAGTACGTGGTTGTGCATGCTAACACGTCATATAACATTCTTCTTGGAAGACCGTCCCTCAACAGGTTAGGTGCGATTGTGTCAACCCCGCACTTAGCCATGAAATTTCCTTCTGAATCAGGCTGAATCATCACAGTACATGCAGATCAGAAAGCGGCCAGGGAATGTTATTTTGCTAGTCTCCGGTTGCCCAACAACTTGAAAGAGGTCCAAAAGTTAGCTGGTCGACTAACAACTTTATCTCGTTTCCTACCATGTATGGCCGAGACTTCCAAGCCGATCCTTGGCCTTCTGAAAAAGGCAAACAGATTTCAATGGCAGAAGAATGCGAAGTATCTTTTCAACTTTTCAAGAAATGCCTCGGCACTCCCCCGGTATTGACCAAGCCAACATCCGGCCAAGAACTAATCCTGTACTTGGCGGTTTCGGGCGAAGCCATAAGCGTCGGCTTGATACGGGAACATGACGGACAACAGCAACCGATATACTTCATTAGCCGAGTGTTGCAAGATGCCGAACGGCGATACCAATTGCTAGAGAAGGTAGCGTTGGCACTCATGTATGCGGCTAGGCATGTACTGCTTTAAGCCTAAAGCAATTATATTCTAAGGATGCAGAAATTTTCCCAGCATATAATTTTTTATTTTTTTGTGCACCTAAACAATTACATCTAAATATCTAATAGTTGCCAAAGCTTCAAATAACAAGAGGATGATAGCTGGCGACTAACCTGCTACTGCAAGGATAGTAAGAGATGTCAAAAAATTGTAGCCATGATTCTGGAACATATGCCCATACCAAGAAAATAACTTTGCACAAAGGAAAATGAAAATAAAATAAAAGTCACAAACTTCCACTGGGTGACCAATGCATGAATTAAATATAAGATAAGAACTTCTACAAATTAGCTTCTAAATAAATTAATTTTAATTTATAAAAAAATTTATTTCATTTTTTCATCTTATTTTTTTCCTTACAATTATTTCTAAAGAAATTCACCCGAACAGACCTAAGTGATACATTAGTAATTGCATAACGTAGTATTGCACAAGGGTTAGAGAAAAAGGGAAGAAGACCTGTGACAAGAAGAGTGGTGATAGAACCCACAAACCCGTCAACTTCAGAAGGCTTTGGGCCGAAGGAAGAGGTTTTGTCGGAAAATACACAGTTGCCCTCCGCTGTTTCGACAGACTCGGGATTCTTCTTGTTCTTCGACTTTCCATAATTTACATAAATGTTGTTTGTTTTTAATTAACGCCTACCAATGCCAACGCATTCTAGCTTGTTGGGCTGTTGTCCCGGTTAGCCTTTTTTTTTTTTTCGATTGGGCTGATAGCCCCTTTGAGGCACAATTTAAACTTGGCCCATGCTGTTGACACTCCCTGTGTTTCTGTTTTATCATTGGCTCATTGCACCTTTGGTTTTAACAAAAACATCATTGACAAAAATTAGTTTATATTGTCTATCACTTGACTACACAAACTAGTTTCCGTTTTGTATACGTATAAAAGTTACATAATGAAAACTAGCTTTGTTGTATAGTTAATTTAATTCTGTATGCATCTAATGTTTTTTATTAAATGATTTTAAATTTTTAATGAGTTGAATAACTCGTTAAATAAAATATTAATTAATTTAGTTAATTTGGTGCTTATTTTTATTTATTTAAAAATAATAAAATAATATAAATTGTAAAGGCGAAAAGGGATCAGGTTTATTACACATTTGCAAACATCAGTTGACGTAGTTGACAAAGGTTTTGGTTTTGGAAGCCATTATTAAGTGCAATAATAATAATAATACTCCTAATGTCCCTCACAGTGACAGACAGAGACAAAGGAACAGATAAAAATGGTCTTGAGAGGAGGTGGCACACCCTCGTACTTCATTAGTGCGTGCTTGCTACGAGGAAGCATGATTGCGTTATGTTCCCCTCAGACGCTAACGACGTGTGCTTTTTCAGGAGCCATTTACATTCGTGGATTCCGCGTAAGAAAACCAAGTTCATATCCTTATTATATATAACACTTTTTCCATTATGTATTTATACTTTATTCATATATATTATACATATGAACACTAAATATTAGAGGACAAACTTTGTTGGGTTCAACTTTAGTAGCACAATCTTGGTTACTACTTTTTAATGGAACACTATGATTATGATCGCTTCATTATCTTGGGGGACCAATTAACTTAATTTGGGGTACTATGGTGCTTCCCCTTTAATTTGTTTATTTAGTGCTATTAGATCAGCTTGGTACTCTGCAATCCACCCTTTGATTATCTTCACCTCACTATTTCTCTGCGTCACTAACCATTCAGGATCCTTTGGATTTCTTGAAAGTATGTCCAGGCAATGACACCCTGAAATTGTTATAAATAATATTCCATGTTAATTAAAAAGAATCCAGAAAATGCCATTCTCCTTTTTGCTCCAAGACCACATGCACCCTCGGGGAAACTGGGTCCTGTTTCCCAAATTAAAAGCGTAAACTTAATTTGTTTATTTTAATATAAGTCTGATTTTAAGATTTCATTTGTTCTAAAAGCTCATTAAAGTCTAAGACCAATTAAATAAGATCACGAACATATATATCTCTAATTTGACTAGCAAATCTATACTTACGATATCAGAAAAGTAAGACTAATTTTCTGATATATTCTTTTTTCATGTATAAAGGTTGAATTCATAATTTTAGTTAAAAAGAATTATGCATATTTATATGTATGATTGTATAGACGATGAAGTACCATTTACAGTGGTAACGGCAATGACACTATTTGAGATACTCTCCAACACCCTGCGGTTCATTGAGAACAAAAAAGAAAGAAAGAAAAAGAGGTTATAATTGAAGCAAGTTGAAAATTAAAAATCAAAGAAGGCCAATGATTGCTGAAGAAAATAATTATATTTCTCATTATCAAATTTAGTTTCTTTAATTTTAGTATTAATTATACCCGCCAGAGCTGTACGGATCTCGCAACCCATTGGAGAATATGATGTTGCTAGCAAACCTATGGAGAATCAGTTTCAAATCCTGCATTTTGTTTCATATATGCATAAAAAAAACCAAAAGCATTAATATTCTATATCTAATCATAGAAAAGAAGAAACTATAGGAACATTAATTTAAGAGAACTATATATTAATTCCATGAAGCAAAATGATGAGAAAAAAACGTACAGGACCCCCATAATATGTGGTGACCCAATGAGGCTGGGGAAGGACGCCATATAAGTTCCTACACTGATGAACAAATCTCTTCATGTTGAAAGGTGCTGGTGGGAACATTGAGTCGTTCCTATCATGACCTATTGGCATAACAATCTCGCTGCATGTCTGTTTAATTATCAAGTTAATTTACTCTTAGTTAATTCATTAAAGATTAATTGATCTAATTAAACTTGTGCTTCATGAATCTGCAATAGGAGCATATAACATTAGATTTAATGATCATGCACCATATAACATTAAATTCAATTATCATGCACGGACAATTTAATATATAATCATAAATTATTATGTTAATAAACGGATGATTTTTACAATAATTATCTTAAAAGTCATATTAATAAAAATATAAAACTATTTTACATTGAGAATGTTTCTCCCATTTACCTGCCATCTCCAACCTATGTAAGTTTCAGTTGGATGATTATATTCATTCATGTCATAACATGAACGATGTTTCATATAAGCAACAACACCTTCAAATATTTGGCCAAGAATATCGGTTTTCTTAGCTGCCGCATCAATTGCTGCGCATATGACCGTAACTGGGTACTCAGGAGGGTAATTGTATTGAGCTGCGTCAGTATATAACGAATCTAGGTAGTCCTTGAGCTCAAAACTTTTGTTCAATTTGCTGAAACAGTAAAAAGAAAAACAATATATATATTTTTTAATCAATTGATGGAGGATTAGGATAATTAATCAACAGTTGTGTACAAACTGCAGAAGTAAATAAATGTAACTTACTCGCAAGTTTTAAATCTCTTGCTGAGAATTGAAAGACCATTAGGCTTCTTAGCCACTCGGTCAATTTCAGACCATGATTTACGGATAGTTTGGTAACAGTTCTCACTAGTTTCCTGAACCACGCAAATTATGAATCCGATGCAATAGTTATTAGGGGTTTAAATTAACTTAAACAATATTATTATATTTTTAAAGAAAATGTTGGCATAGTTTAATAGAATATTACTTTGAAATCCTTGGTGACAATATAGTAGTATCCGGCTTGTGGGGCAGTGCCATTGAAGTAAAGAATTGGTGCTGATGAAGCAAGAGCACCGAGAGCAATGTGGGGATACTTTAGGCGAAACCATGAGGCAAGCACTGCATAATAATTTATGAGGCAAGGAATTTATTTGTGTGATAAACTATACGATATGAGTGGTATAAAGTTATACTATATGTGTGATAAAGTTACATAAGTGTTCATATAAGTGCTAGTTGACACATATATATATTTCAATGATTTGAAGAAAGAACTAATATTATATAGGTAGTACTCCTTACTTCCACCATAAGAGCCTCCAATAACGATTATGGGGCAATTCTGAGCAGACAAAGTTTTCTTGATGTGTAGAAGTATAGCAGCATAGTCTGCTATTGCTTGGGCTGAGTTGAAGTAGCCTCGAGTACTTGCATTTCTCATAGATTCTTCCCTTGACCCAAATGGTATTGATTTCCCATAGTATCTATGCTGTTACAAACATCACACACAAATTATATTTGTATAAAACGGGTTTAACGGATTATTAGTATAAATTAGTTCAACACTTGCACGTCAAACAATCAGAAATTATTGTTGGTATGATTGTTAAAAATAGTTATCATAAAAATCAATAAACTAACAATACATGACAGCTTATGATTAGAAATATTAGATTGTCGAATGAGACTGAAATTATACATAATTCAAGGTCATCACATGTATAATTTTGGCCAATTTCTATCAGACAAGTATTGGTAGTCAAACTACTATATATGTTATGTGAAGATTAGTTAGAACTACCATGTAATATTTTCTCGAGATGATCGAAACTAATTGTGCTGATGAATGTTGTTATCTTAATTAGTATTACCTCAATATAAACAATAAGAGCATTGAAATGAGGAGCATTATCTCTGAGAAACCCCACGAAGCGTATATCAACATCCACAGGTCCTTCAGCACCAAAGAATGCAAAAATGGGTGCACTTGATTTAGCTCCACCCCAGTACTTGAAATTGATCATGTATCTTTGTTGGAAAGTGGTGTAGCTGTCAGGCCTGTAGTTGAAGTGATCCAGTCTTTGGGTATAATAAAATGTTTTGAGGTCATCATCATCATCCATGTGCGAGGAAGGCCTCATCATTTGGGGGTCACGTTCCATGGTTTTACTCCATGTTCCTAACCTTGGAATTTTGAAAGCAGAAACATTAACTGAGATGAATAGAAAGATAAAGAAAGAAAGCCATTGAAATGACTGCAAAACAGATCCCATGGTTCAATGTGTTTGAGAGTATATGTGTCTCTCCTGGCTAGTAGGCTACAATGTTATTAAGTTGCAATGTAAGCACTTGTATATATATTACATCAATATAAGTGACGTACTTTATTTAACACAACTTTTTATTATTTTTCTATAATAAGAGACAATCCTATTGGATTGGGATGTGATTATCATGAAGAAAAGTTTTTTTTCCAAGTATTTATCTGAATTGCATATTTTTGTTTCATATCACTTAAAGTAGAATTCCCCCACTAATTAGTTCTTAAGAATGTGAATTTTAGGTTTAATTTATCTTTATAAAATTTGTTTATAAGATAAGTATCAATTATCATTACTTATATATTTTATTTTAGTCATATTATTAGTTAATATGTTTTAACACATGTTAAACATGAAATTTACAGTACTGAATATCTCAAACGTAAAATTTACTAATTTAAATATTTATAAATAGTCCAAAAATGATTTAATAATATATGATATGTTAAATCTAAAACCCATTTTTTAAGATAATATAAAATTTATTTTAGATGCATAAAAAAGTTATAGTCATGATCATTTATTTGTGCACCAAATTTAATAGTTAGGCGTGAGAAGCATATTAAAAAAAATTCATGTTCTGTATAAATTAGAAATAAGACTAAAATAAAATACATAAATAGAAGCAATTTTTATATTATAAGTTAGTTTTATATTGATTTTGTAAGAATGTGTTATACTCAATTTATTTCCTTAAAATTAGTTAAGAATTTTTTTAAGCTTGCTTTTTTATATTAATAATATTTATCTTATTAATTAAAATTTGTTAATATCACAAAATTACGAGTAAAATTGATTAAATAGAAAATGAGATACATGTAAGGAAAAAAAAAGGTACATTATTTTATGAGTTTTAATAATAAAAATTACATTTAAAAAGGCGTGTAACTGAAAACATGGAAAACAATAATATAAAAACAAAAATTTTAAAAAAATGAAAAAGGAAATGCCATAAGATGGTGCTACTTTGCTAAATAATATACATCTATGAAGCTATACTATATAGCTTGTATATAGACACCTAGGATGCAAAATGGCTGAACCGCGTGTGGGTCCTTAAAAATTGAGACCATTGCAAATAAAAGTGCGATTCAGTTTAAGGTATAAGCATAAAAATATGTGGATGCAGCTAAGATCTGACTCATGCATGCATTCGATTAGTAGTACTTGAAATTAATAATTCTCTTAAAAAAAACTTTTTGAGAAGGTAGAAAATAATTGAATGCATAGAAATTATTACATCGTGTTTGGATTTTAGTTCAATGATTATATATAATTATGTTAAAATATCGATTAAACATGATTTTAAGTTTAAATTAAAAGTTACTTTCGAAGCAAAATTAATTCTAAATTAAAACAATTTTAAGTAGATTTTATGTTAGATAAAACAAATAAATATTAAATTACCATTAACTTGCATTAAAAAAAATATAAACATAAATTATTTTACTTTATAATCAAATTTATATAAGCACCCCTTTAACATATAACTATTTTATTTTCATAGGAAATATTACGATGATAATAATGATAATATTAAAATAAGTATTTATGCATCAATTCCAATTTCCAACCACTAAGTAGAGTCTAGAGATTCACTTCATAGCTATTTTATAAGAGTCTTGATAGCCCTAAACGCTTGATTTGTTGTTTGTATCTTTTGGTTAATAATGTTCACAACATAAACAAACACATTGTCTTTTTTATTTTTTTTGAGCAATACAACTCTTTATTGACAACTGAACTTAATTACGAACATTATCTAGCTAATGGTAATGCCGTGAGGGTTTAAAGTTTAAACCTACCAAATCTACACATGCGCATCATCCACATAATGTTACACTTACACAGCAAATCACTCCATATTAATTTTGTGCAGGAAAAATCTCATTTAACTTTCTATTTTATGAGTTACTGCTTCAACGTTGCCATAATGATAGCATCCAATAATTATATATGACTTTTTTTAATTAAGAAAAATCTAAGTCTCATGTTGATTAAAAATATGACAAGAAAATAAGATTGAGTTAAATTCAAACTCATATCTTAAGAGGAGAAATTCCTTTGGAGATATAAATGAAAGCCTTCTTTAATTTGGCAATGCTATATAACCTAATTTTGAATGGCAAGAGGTTGCCCGATTAGGGATGGCAATGAGGTCTCATGGGGCGGGTAATAGTAAACTCACTCCCGTCCCACTAGATGAAAATTGGTCCCATACCCACCCTATATCCGTGTAGGTATCCATTAAACGGGTATTCATGAATTTCTTGAATACGTACGGATATCCATGGATATTCATGAATATTTATAAATTTTTAAAAAATTAAAAAAATTATATTACAAATGATTTAAATTTATATTTAATGTTATTGAAATATTAAAAATGAAAATTCAATGTTAATTTTGAACTTGTATTTAACGTTAATTTTGTTAAAATAATAATAAAAATGTAAGATAATTAATAACTTAAAATACATCAAACTCACAAGTAAGATAAAGTCTCATCACAAAACTACAATAATTCAATCTCATAATTCCAAACGAAAATAAACAACTTAAAATACATGAATTTTAGTGTTGCAATCGAATCTATAAAATTAATCTAATTACATCCAACATAATTCTATAACATGTTTAACACATGTTGGTAATTTCATCAACTTCACTTTTGTAAGAAAATAAGATGAGAGTGTAGTTTTAGGGTTATGTGGTACAAGGATAATTAGATATTTAAGAAATATTATTATTAAACGGGTACCCACGGGTATGAATATCATCATACCCGCCCCCGCCCCGTTTATAAACGGGTAAAAAATTATCCGTCCCCATTATCACGGGTACCCAATTAGTCTATCCATTTATTATCCGTAGCAAATTTTACCCGCAGATACTCACGAGTACGGGTATTTTTGCCATCCCTATACTCACTCTACCTATAAGCCGAATAAGTTTCCTTTTATTTTGATAAAATTAGAGTGGCTGCAAGTGGAACCAACCCACACCAGTTTCTTTCTCACTCTTTGTTATCATTTCCTTTATAAATTAAACACATAGTATATGTAGTAGCTTTTTCCTTCGTTATTATTAGGGATGTCAAATTGGTCGATTCGATTTAATTTGTCTTTAATTTACCTAAAATAAATATTGGGTTAAAGCTATTTTTTAAAATTGGGTCGAAAATTTTAATCCAATTCAACATGTGATAAGTTACAAATTGTGTTGGGCTGACCCATCAAAATTTTTAAAAAAATAAAAAATAAACTATTCATAAGTAAACCTATATCAAATAAATAAATATAAATTATGTAAACATAAAATCATAACCACATGGATATTGTCTAACTAAATCATCTTAACTCAACTTTACTTTTAGAAATTATCATCGTGAATTAATGTAGAGTAAAACAAAAAAATAATATAAAATTCAAAAGACTTTATAAAATATTATGTTGAATAAAATAATATTTAACTTGATAGTTATTAAAAAAATAAACAATTCATTACCCTTAATTTGATAAGTTGGATTGAGAGATTCTGTGAGTTGACTTTTCAAATTTAATCCAACTCAACCAATTTTTATAGATTAATTAAGTGATTTCATAAATCAGATTCATTCAAAGTAACATGATATTGGTTGTTTCTTAATTTCTTAGTGATGAATATTATTAATTAAATATAATTGTTAATAAATTATCATATGAATATATAAATAAGAAATGATCAAGAACATGTGATCTTGAACATGTATCAATTTATGTGAAGTTATTCTAACTTAACTCGTGATCTTGAGTTCAAGTTTTTGATATAGCAGGTAATGTGATTTTGGAAGAAAAAAAATGATTCTCGTGATCAACATTGTTCTGGGGGAAGATGCATATATCAGCCTCCGAAACATGCACCAAGTTCCCTCACCATGCACTAAGCTCTTGTGACCAACATGTACAATGATTCAAATGCACATGAATCAAGATGCTTTATGAAATCAATTACTCTGTGGACTCTAGTGGAGGCTTATGCGGTGAAAAGCTTAATTATGCTAACCGGATTAGATTAGGTAGCTGACTTTTTCCAGTTTTATTATAAAACGGATCAATCATGTTCGGTGCTTTTTTCTTTATTGCAATGATGGAAGACATTTTTGGCAGCAAAGATGGTGGTTCAGGAACATGATGAAGAAAGTGGAGGGGGAATGAGAAATACACTAACTGAACACTGCAAATTGTGAAACGTGGCTGAGGATAAATTAAGCATATTTCTTTACTCAATGGGAATTTTGTGTTGTTAGATGGAACCTTTTCAGTTCCACCATTTCTATTTTGATGCAATCACCAAACACAAAACACCACCCATGTTTTAATGCTCTGAGCTCTCATGCACTTACTTGAAACATTGGTTACAGTGAGAGTCGCTAACAACATATGTAACATTGTGCTTTCTTCAGCACACATGCGATTCACATGTAAATTGCAATCATGGCCACTGACCCATTTGGTTAACTTCCATAAAGAAATATTGCATTTCAGAAGAGGGTTTAATTTCCAAACATCAACTTATGGTGGAGATATACTGTCCCTTAAAGAAATAAATGTATATGTTAAAGCACCTTCTTATATCCACCTTAGATATACTAGTGAAAAATAGTTACTCTCTACTTCCGCTATAAAAAAATAATAATTGTTAAGTTAACTTTAAAAGAGTGAAATAGTTAAATAAATTAGTTAAAAAGATTAAAAAAAATTTAAAAAATATATATGGACACCAAATCATATATCTCTAGATATATTGATCTCTTTGTAGATATATTGAAATATGCAGGGATGCTTCCTTTTCGTGGAATTGTCATAAAACGATCCATTTTCCCTCTGATTAAAGCATTGTGCTTTCCTAGTTGTGTAGTTTACATTTCCACATTTCTTTGATTAAAATTTAAGCAAATGGGAACGTAATAGGTAAGGAGATACAGCAACGGTGTACCACGGGATGAAATAGATAATTTAAGATGAATTATCTTTGTTTTTACTCTATTTTATATTAGAACTCAAAATTGAATCTATTAAGATTTAAAGTTAGAAATCAGAAAATGCGTTGGATATAACTCACCTGACACATTTTTTTATAGCATAAATAAGTCAGATTTTTAACCTACCAAATCAAAATTGACTTACAAAAATCAAGGCAGAACGTGTCAATTTCCCAACTTATTTTCTATTTTATTACATTATGTCACTTTAATTTTTTTGTCAGGGTTCATTTCATTATATTGTTGTACAAAATTTAAATAAAATAATAGAATTAGTTTTGATTATTTTGAATTTATGTTTAATATTACAGTATATATAATTATATATGTATATTAATTAAGTTGTATCCAATTAGTTTTTTTATTCATATTTTTTGTTTAATTTATTGTACCTAATTAAACATTATATATAAATAAAAGTGTTTTTTTTTTTAGTTTTTAAGCAGGTTGACTCATAACCCTCCAGTAAACGAGACAGTTGAAATTGTGAGTCACTTCTCTGATAGAATATGGGCGAGTTAGTTTGTTTTTGGTTGGTCGAGATAAGTTGATCTATTTTATCACTCATAATAAAAATTCAAAAAATTATATATTTTTAAAAATAGTTTTTTAACTTGTACAATCTACGTCTTAAATACTTATTTTATATGACTAAACTTTATTACAGATAAAGAGAAAGAAAAAAAAAATATATAAATAAATAAACATTCAAATTTATGAAGGAAGGCAAGTATAGAATTATAGATAATCAAATAAATGGATAGATAGACTAAGAGTATTTTTTTTCTTCTAATTATCAAAAATGCCGATATGTGAAATGCACTTTCTAAGGAGATGAGAAAGTGTGTTAAAAATATTTAATTGAGGGAATGGAGAGTGAGAACTTGATGGAAGCACTTGGAGAAGATGAATGTTCTTCCAAGTTTTCCATGCAAGGACCGAAATACTCTTGAGACAACCTTCAAAATAAGGCTTGAATCTCCATGAAGGAACCTTCAATGGAGGTTGAAGCAAGGAAGGGATTCGGTTACTCCTTAGCTTGAGGTATAAGCTTGAGGAACCAAGCAAAGGTTGAAGCACCTTTGGTAGAAACCTAAAGAGAGAATTTTCTACGGTTTTTAGGAGAGACTTTTGAGAGAGAAATCTGAAGATTTATTTCTCAAATATTCAAAAGTGTTTACAAAGAGTGAAGAAACAAGCACTTATAGATCCTAGAAGCAAGCTAGGTGGCACTAACTTCACCAACCAATATTGGAGCCAAAAATTCAAATTTCAAATGGAAATTTGAATTCAAATTCAAGGCTCCATGTGCTTAGTCCGTGAATATGGGGTTGCCATGCATCTAAATGTCATTTAGGGGACATTTAAAGTGTATTTGGAGCTGCACATGTTCAGCCATGCTTGGCAAGAAACATGTGATTCAAATGCATCTCAAATGACTATTAAATGAAACCTAGATTTTAACTTCTTGGTCTATTTTAGTATTCCTTCAATATTCATATGCTAATGGCCTAAATACAATGGCCAAACATATACAAACATTAGGAAATAATAAAAGAAACAAAATGAGCCCAATATTTGGTACCAAAAGCCCAAAGGCCCACAAATCTCAAAAATAGGCCCAATAAGCCTATGGCCAAAAAAATGCTAATCTATGTGGTCCAAAATACAAGACCAAAATATGTGAAAGCTATACTAATAGAATATGTACAAAATATAAGAAAAATGAATTTATTAAGAGATGGCCCATGTGGAGCTCAAATTGGGCCTTGACTGGCCCAAACCTTCATGCTTAACCCATTCCTCTTGGCTCCTTTAGTGTGTCACCCCTTACATTCCTAGGCATGATTCCATCAGAACTTCACTATTCAACATAAAGATTTTAATTTATAGTACAAGAACATATATTTTATAGTTTAAGTTTTAGTTTGTGTTTTTATTTTATTAAAAAAACAAAGTCTTTAAATTTTTGGATTATCATATATTTACAGTTTATTACATATTAAAAAGAGTTAAAAATTTATTAGACATAAAAAAATAACATCCAAAATAGTAATATTGTATAATCAGATGTCAGATTTCGATTTAGGTATAAAAATGTGATACAATAAGAAAAAAATTATAATTTATTTATAAAAATAAAAAAAATAATACAATTTTTTCACAACATAATTATATATTTGAGAAATATTAGAATTACATTATCATCTAATACACTCTCTTGAACACATTTATTTTTATTAGTTAAAATTTATTAAAAATTACATGAATAAATATAGATTTACATAATATTTGTTGAACCACTCTAGTGTTTTCATAGTTTTTAATAAACTTTAACTAACAAAAATGTGTTAGAAAATATTTTCTTAACGGTCCTCTTTTTTATTTATTTATTTATATACATACATTATTTTGATTTTACTTTTCTCCAAACAGTGGGTAATGCTATATATATATATATATATATATAATCAATACAAAGAACATTATTATCAATATATATGTATGTGTTATTTGAAAGATTTTTTTTTTAAATTTTATTTAGAACTTAAAAAAGAAGACCTTATTTTTTTTCATTTTTTTTACAACAATCTTCATTTTTATTCTCACTTCTCTACTAAAGAACATAAAAGAGAAAACTAATTAATTTATAAAATTTGAAATATTTTAAAAGAAGATAATTTTTAAAAAATGAAGATTGTTGTAAAAAAAATGAAGAAATAAGGTCTTCTTTTATAATAATGAAGATAATTTAAAAAAAAAAAAATAGTTAAAAGCTAAGAATAAAGATATCGATTATAATTGTCATATAGGATAATATTATATATTTTTATGATAATTACTTTAAAAATTATTTATAGATGAATTTCTAATGTTTTTATAATTATATTATTAGTATAAAATATCTATCAACTTTGTTGATAACTGATTTTCATTGAAAAATCTAACGAGACATCTTTAACAAAACCTCTCTTATTAATCATTTTTTTTTCTTTCACAAGTAAATTCAAAATCTTATTTAAAAAACCAAATTCAATATTATATAATCTACCGACCAGTTGATGAATAATTTTGTAATTTATTGATAATAATATAGTATTTTTTATATCCACTATATACAGTAATTGAATTATATTTTTTTAATCTTTATGCACTAAGGATATATATTTTAATGGAAAAGTAATCTATTATTTCGATGAAGGTATAAAGGAGAGTGAATAATTTTCTTACGGATTGATATCATATCCTTATTCAAGCTTTAGTATAGTGATAGTGTGACACAGTCCATTCCATTGGCAATATGAAATTGTTACTAATAGAAATTACTAATAAGGTATATTAATGGTGGGAATGTTGTGTTATTTCTTTGACATGTGTTAATATATATAACTCTAAACTCGTGTGTTCATCCTAGAATTTTGAGGTCCCATTGAGTGCAACGTAGTACTGGGTGATCCAGCCTTTGATAATGTCGACCTCTTTCTTCCGTTGTTCCACTAACCATACTGGATCAGTTTCTAATGCACGCAAAATATCTAGGCAATGAGATCCTGAAAATGTTAACTCAACCAGTCAAACTAGTTTTATTTTTGTTTTTTCCTTCAAAAACAAAATATAGTTCATTAATGAAAACAGTGATACGACAAAATCATATAAACAGGTGCGACTAAGTAGAAAGTCAATTATATTCTACATCCATAAAATCTATATAGGTTATATAACTAATTTTAACTTATGTTAAATGTTTTCAATACATGTAGATACATGAAAATTTAGTTTATTTTTTTTATTGTCTATTATTGTTTACGCACTATAAACTAGTTTAAAATTGTCTTGAACAACTTAATTTGGATATAAAGTGTATATATTTAGTGAGATTTTTCTTTGAGAGAATAAAAAGAATAGATACTAACTATTAAATCTCATCGTGAGTAATTAAAATTAAAATATACAAGTTATGTTGGGATTTTTTTAAGTGACATGACAGATTGGGTATGCCTAAAATAAAATGATCTAGAGATTTTATTGAATGATTTTAATTTAATTTAAATATACAATTTTTATTATTTATAATTTTTTAATTCTTTAAAACAGTGACACTTGTAAAATTGTCTTTTAAATAAGTTAATAACTTTGTGTTATTTAAGTTATTGTTCTTTGTGTAATTGAGTTTTTATTTGTTTTTAAAGATCATTTGTATTTTACTAAAAACAATTATGTTTAAACAAGTAAAATCACAATGAAAAATACGATTTTCCTTTCAAATATTTAGTGCGTATACATATCTAAAATTTAAACTTTTAGATAATGCTGGAATAACATTGCACTTGTTGACCTCCGCATTAAATGGTTTGTGTAATTGAGGATATCACGAAATAATTGATTTAACATTATTTTTCTTTTAATTGTTTTTCATTCTTCATTATAAGGTTATTCATTGGAAATTTTTTATACCACTATAATTGGTCTAGTAATGAAAAATTGAGATAATAATGTAACTAGTATGAATAAAATTCTAAATTCAAACATGATGCCATTTAATGATTAAAAAATGTATATTTTCTTTAATTTTCTAACATCACATTAATTATTTAGTTAAGTAAATTCGTAACTTAAAATCATTATTATCCATTTTTTTTTCATAGACATGATGAACATAATATCTCAGTTAATAATTAAATATTAATTTACCAACCGTAACTTTTACTAGTCAAATATTAATTTAACATAAATTGACAAACTTGAAATTAGCATTATCATTGATGTATAATTATGGAACTCATTTTTTCTTTCCATTTTTTACATAAGAGTTATTAATCACACAAAATTTATGCTGTGTGAGAGAGAGAACTAAAATATGTAAGCATAATATAATATAATTAGTATGAATAAAAACATAAGAATACAAGTACATCATACCATTAACTGTATGGACGGCAACAAGAGTGTCTGATATGTTCTTGAGAACCCTGAATGTAGAAGATTCATACAAAGTTGTGTTTAAAAATATTATCATCCAACAATTACCCAAAAGAAACAATTTGAGATCAATTTTGTATTTTACCCGCCACTACTGTAAGGGTCTCTTAGTCCATTAGAGAAAATGATGTTGCTACCAAACTTTTGAAGGACCAATTCTATATTCTGTCATGCATGCATCAGCCACAACACAATGAAGCATATATCATGGCGTCAATATCAATTAATGTTACTGTTGAAAACAACATTTAATATTCCTGATCTTAGTTATAATTAATATAGAAAGCCGTTTTGAGAATGAATAATATCGATGCTTGCAACAAGAAGCACTTACATGGCCTCCATAGTAAGTAGTGACCCAATGAGGACGAGGTGAGACACCATAAAGTTCCTTGCATTCCTTGGCAAAGCTCTCTAAGATAAAAGGGTTGGGTTGGAACATGCTGTTGTTTACTATACCGATAGGTATCACCATTTCACTACATGTCTGAATGTACGGAGTAGTTCATATTACTTCTTTATCAACTAGAATGAGTGTGTACGAATGTAATTGATAAAATGCCATTACCAAATTAAATAACTCAAGCATAATGAAAAGAAAATACATGAAACATGTTGCACTTGTAAATGCAAATAATACCTGCCATCTCCAACCCTCGGTTGTCTCGGATACAATAGGAGGGCCATTAACTTTGCATGTGTCGTTTCCCCTGTATGCTACCAAACCTGAATATATCTTACTTAGGATATCACTTCCAAAAGAAGAATTATCAATTCCACCACAAATCACAGTAACTGGATATCTTGGTGGTTGATCGTATTGAGCAGCACCAGCATACATCAACACCAGGTAGTCTTTCAACTCTGAAGACTTATTTAAGGGACTGCAGAAAGTGACAGAGTCAGTATGTGGAGTTTCAATCTTAACTCCAATACTTTTATAGTTTCCAAAAATATATCATTCTTTTTTACTATAAAACTAGTATACTTTGAATCATTAAAAGCAAGAGATTAAAACCATATTAATTTTTTATTAAATATACGAATAAAATACAAATATATGTTTAAAAAAGAATATAATAAGAAACATCATATATCTAAAATCATATGAATCTTTAATATTCCTTTTTAACACCTTTTTTTGTCGGGTGAAATTCATTTGAGCCTTACTTACAGTGTGTTTGTTTTCCCGTTTAATGCAGGTAAACATACGTTTCTACCGAGACTCATACTTCTCCATTTTATTGCTTTGAAATGCCCGCCGCTAATTATACAAACACGCACTAAATATGAAAGTTATGTTTCCAAGAATTTCAACCAATAAGATATACAAGTGTGCATTTGTTTTTTAGTTAGCACAATTTTTAAGACAACAGAAAGGAAAAGTTTATGTCTTGTTAGATTGGATTAAACGGATGTTTGAGCATTTCAAACGGGAAAACAAACACACCAAAAGTATGTTAAGAAAAGAGTTGCAAAGTGTTATGCATGTTTAAGCAATAGTGTTTGAACCGGCAAGTGTTGAATCTCTGGCTAAGAATTGAAAGACCATTTGGCTGAGAAGCTACTCTGTCAATTTCGGACCAGGATTTCGATATAGTTTGGTAGCATGTTTCACTAGCTTCCTGCATGTACCAATTCATCTCTAAGTCACCTTTTTGATGATGTATATTATGAAAATTAAAAAAATAAATGGAAGATTAATATCAAATTGTGGTAAATTACTTTAAAATCCCTTGAAACAACAGAGAAGTAACCATCTTCTGGAGTTATATTATCGAAGTAGAGGATTGGAGCTGATGAGGCCAGAGCACCGATGGCTAGGTGGGGATATTTGAGCCTAAACCATGAAGCAAGCACTGCATATATATAAAAAAATAATATCAACATAAGTAGGATTTAATTGAAAAATCTCAGAGCACTAAGTGGAACACTATGATAATATGAATGAGGAGTATTTGATTTGAGAGACTAACTTCCACCATATGATCCTCCAAACACAATCACCGGGGACTTTTGGGCATTTAATGTCTTCTTAACATGTATGATGACATCTGCATAATCTGCTATTGCTTGAGCTGAATTGAAATACCCAATAGTGCTTGCATTCTTCAATGCTTCTTCCCTTGATCCAAATGGTACTGATTTCCCATAGTAACGGTGCTGATGAGAAATTTAAAGCAAGTGTTACAATTTGTCCAACTCAATAAACCTTTGAATATTGGAAAAATAAAAGGATAATCTAATTCTAATTCGAGAACGCACATATCAAGGTGATAATCTAATTTCATTCTCTTATAATATTTAATAAATTTCTTTTATTATGCAAATTACCAAGGTGATAATGTAATTCTAATTTGAGAACGCACATTTCAGTGAGAGGGCATTAAAGTTGTATATGATAAATACCTCTATGTATACTAAGAGAGCATTAAAGGAAGCAGCGTTATCAGTGAGAAATCCTATGCCTTGAGGGGAATCATCTATTGGTGATTCTGCGCCCAAGTAGACAAATATTGGGGCACTAGAATTGGCACCACCCCAGTACTCGAAATTGATCAGATATCTTTGTTGAAACGTTTCGTAGCTTTCAGGCCTATAGTTGAAGTGATCAAGAACCTGTTTGTAATAAAATGTTGTGAGGTTCTGTGTGTCCAAAGTTGCAGCCAGGCTTCCAGGGTCGCGTAAGGTTGTTTCAAATTCAGCAATAGGACTCAACCTTGGAATTTTCAACGATAATGCAGTGAGATAGGTTGAGTAGTACACGAGAAAGATGAAAATAAGACATTTAAATGACATAGGGTGGTGTTCCATTGGAACAAAGGAGAATAATAATAGCTTTGAGTTATGTTCTTTAGTAGTTCATATATGAATCAAAGACGCCCTTATATAGATGTGAATGTGATCCTGAGTGCATGCGCTGTTTATTGTTGAGTTGTGTACATGCGGTGAGATTTCTTGATGTAATGCGCGACAAAAAATTCGGTTTCTTTCCAAGTATATAATGCAAGCACACGGTACACAAATCTCAATTTCGATGTTATAATTTAACGGATTAAATATATTTTTAATTCTTTAAATTTAAGATAAATTTATTTTTGATTTATTAATTCTAAAATTATTATTTTTAATTCTTATAATTTTAAAAAATATTATTTTAATCCCTCAAATCACCAATAACATATACGAAAGTGATAGATTGAGATAATATTACAATATTAGTTAGATTTAATGTAATATTTTTACTAACAATGATACTATTAAATAGATTTTATGTAATAATATTTGATAATTTTTTTACTAAAATTTGAGTATTAGGATTAGAGCTGTTTTTTTTTTTTTTTTTTTAATTATAGAGACTAAAATGATTTATTTTAAATTTGAGAGACTAAAAATAAAATTATTTTAAATTTAAAAGATTAAAAATATATTTAAATTTAATTTAAATTGAAATAACCTCCAGGATTTTCATGCACACACTTAACGATACTTTTTAGTTTTTGAGACAAAAATTAAAAGTATTATTTGATTTTTTATTCATTAGAATCGATCTAAAATGTCACTCACATTAATTAAAGTTAATTATAAGAATTTAAGAAAAAGGTAGAATTGATAGTCTTATTAATGTCAAGAATGAAAAAAATATTAACTTAAGATAAATGTAATTTTTTTACACCAAGAGAATTATATTTTTTTATTAAAATAATATTTCAGTATTGGAATGACATTTTACAAAGTTCCTTATGGTAAAATGTGTAGGATATCCTTGTGTTGGATATAACCTGGTGAGAGTTCCATGTTAAGATCGAAGGTAGTCTAACAAACCACAGAAAATGTGAGGATAATTCAAAATAAGATGAGAGTGACTGAAAGTAGGCAAAAGTGTTACCATGATAAGAAGATAAATGACTTTAAGTTTAAAAAGAGATTATATGTATTCCTTAACGTAAATCCTTGGACTGATATTGACAAAGTACTAAAATCTCACAAACTTACTTTCTGATTCATTGGTCGCTATCAAATCTTTAAGAAGATTGTTGAATTAGCTTACCAAATAGCTTTACCTTTGTCTCTGTTTAATTTACATAGTGTCTTTCATGTATCTCAACTTTGTAAGTGCATTCATGACCCTCATATCCTTGAATCTGATAGCATTCAGTTGAAAGATAATCTTAGTTATGAAACAATTCCTTTAAGGATTGATGATAAGAGAATGAAATAACTAAGAGAAAATGACATCCCTTAGTTAAGGTTATTTAGGGAGGGAACACGGAGGAAAGTGCTACTTGAGAGCTGGAAAGTCATATGCAGGAATCATATTCAAATTTGTTTTCTTTAGGTGATTTTAGAGACAAAATCTTAAAAAGAGGAAAAATTGTAACATTCTAACTTTTCTTGGAATAAATTAATAAAGAATATTTAATTTAATTAATTGGGATTATTTTCTATAACAAGGGTTATTGATAAAAAGAAATATTTTATAATGTAATTATTATAGATAATTATTTGAATTTCAAGAGAAGAGTAAATAATAATGAATTAATGAGTTTTAACAAGTTATGCGCATGTTAGTATTCCCTCTATAAAAGATTAGTAAGACTAGGTTGCCTCACATACACATTAACACGCGCTCCCACGATTTGAAGAGGAGAGAGAATCAAATGTAGTTGGGACAACCTAACGCATGCCTGACGCCAAACACTCTAGCACCCCACATGAATCTAGACAGAGATGAGTCACTCTCATCACGTTTGATACCATTCAACTTATACCTGGTGAGATTCCAACCCAAGACGAGACTCTCTCCTCATGTTTGGGGTCACCGATCCTATGCTCGACATGATTGAGACAGAGACCTCTCTTTTGAAGGCTCACTTGGCGCTATAAAGGCGTGCTCGATGCGATATCAAATTCTACACTTGTGCAAAACCCGATTTTACCCAATCTCCTGAAAATCAACAAATCCCACAACATGCAACACAATAAACAACATTTATACAACATATACAACATAATTTCATCATCAAAAACAACATGCAACAATTAGAAATCAAGAATCAACTCAATCTCTCCTACTTCTCTTCAAGCCACAAAACCCTCTCAACTTCATGTTTACCATCCAATCTTCTTATCAACTCAAAAATCAATTCATATTCAACATTTCAACCCCACAACATATTCAACAATTCAAAATCACAGCTTCCCTTACCTTCTTGGAGAAAGTCCGCAACGAAGAAGAAGAAAAGGAATGAGCAACTTTGCACGACTCTGTCATGAATCTTCTACTTCCACAAGCTCAAATTCCAATCCTGCTCTAAATTTAACTACAAGAAATAGCTCCCTTTCTTCTCTCTAGAGTTTTAGGAAACATGAATTATAAGCTTCCTTTTAAAAAATATTTCTTTTATACCTTTTTTGAGTCGACTCCACTTATCTTTGATCTAACCCTCCAAAGATCAACATGCCCTTAGCATCTCCAAATTCCAAAGTTCTTAACAACAACTATCAAATCAAATAACATAATTATGAAATGACAGTGTTACAATTTATCTATGATTGTTGCCAAATACATAAAATTCTTGGATGCATGACTAATATTCCTATTCTGTTTAGGATTGCTTCAAAAGCATAGTATTATTTTGCATAGTCAAATTCCACATTACTGCATTTTAATTTTTTAGCAACATTTTATTTTTTTTACATTTGTTAAAATGTTACTATATATTGAATAAATATGTTATTTTATAACATTTTTTATAACATTTTTTTTATTTCAATGTTATTTTTTTTAATTATTTTTAAAATTAAAATCTCATATCGAGTAAAAAAATATCACATAGGTTATTTTGCAACATTTTTTTGAAAAATGTTACTATACATAAGTAATATTTTTTTTATTTTCTAATTGTTTATAAAATTAAAGTCCCACATCAAGTAAAAAAAATATATTTCTCTCATCTCTAATTATTAACTATAATTAAAGTCTCACATCGAATAAATGAATGACTCATAAATAATATAAATAATCATATTGAACTTTGATATTTGATATATAATTAGTAGTGACTAATTAAAAATATTTTTAACCTTCTCTTAAAGAACTCCTAGGAGTTTAGGAGACATAAAAACATAATAATTAATCAAATATATAAATTAAAATTAATTATCATTTTATAAAATTAACAAAAATTTAATAACATCATTAAAATATTATAAAAATATCATTTTGATAACATTTAAAAAATATTATTTAATTATATAAAAATATTATTAAAAATCTTTAATAATATAGATTATATACAATATTTGACAATATATTACAAAAGCAAATTAATAATATTTATATATAATTAAGTAATATTTTTTAAATATTACTAAATTTTTTTTTTATTATATTGTCACAATTTTTGTCTTAAGCAAATAATGAGAATATATAATGGACAAAAACCAAAGACCGATGACTATCACCATCATAGTGCAATGCCCAATTTTGGAGTTCCACTTGATTCTATTTGCTACTACTTTTCTTAAGTCTCACGGGTTTATATGGTTGCTTTCTAGTTCCTAATCATATTCACATACGTACCTTTCCCATATCCTTCAGAGACACTGAAAAATATCGTAGTTCACAAGGAAGTGCTTCCAAATATCTCTTAAATCTGCTAGTTATGACTTACGATCGTCTTTGACTCTATTTTTTCTTTTTTAAAAAAAACAAAAGTTGAGGAATTTAAACATAATTATAATTAAAAACTCTTTAAAAATTAATTTTGAATAAAAAAAGATAAAATATATTGATAATTCCATAAATTTTTGGCTTAGGAATTATTAATTGGAATTTTAGAATTTGTATGAATTTGATTAGTTTTTTATTTTATTTTATTCCACTGTAATGTTTTTCATTGTTGAATGGTCTAACTTGAAAACAACTAGCAGATGATGAAAAAATCAGTGGCTGGTCCAGATTAATTCTCATGGATAAAAAAACGTACATATATAATGACAAAATTATTAAAAATTAAAATTAATAATAAATAAATAAATAATAGTTCAATGTTTTGGTCAAGTTTTTTTTTCATTGATTAAATGGAAAAAATAGATCGATGTTGATGCGATACAATTCATTATCTAAGATAATTCTTGAGTGTGTGATATTTTTTAATGTAAAATTTAAATAAGCCGATCCTTAGAAAATATTTGACTAAATTATTTTGTAATTATTTTAATTTAACTTTAGACTCTAAAGAAATTTAATAATGTTAATTACTATAGTTTAATAACCACTAAGATTAAGTTATAAATTTTTTAAAAATTTAATCAGTATATTTTAATAATTTATTAAGGAGAAAAAATCTGAAAGGGAAAATTATTCCACACAGTGTGGGGAAGAAGATTGCAAGGTTGTAATAAGTGTGCACATCATTTTTGGTACCATGCCTGTCATAATGAATGAATGTATTTTATGTTTCTGAAGCTTGAAAGCATGACCCGCCATATCAATTGTGAAAATTATAATTTTAGATTTTAAGAAAAGTCCACGCCCAGTCGTGTGATTTTAATAGAATCCAATAAATTAAATCTAACTTAAAAATAATTTAAAATTTAATTTGATAATTAATAATTAATTTATTAAATTTAATTAATTTACAAATTAAAAGAATTAAATTTAAATTTAATAAATAAATAAAAAAGAATTTGAATTACATAAATTATTTATCACATAAATATATAATAATTTTTTTTATTTAATTTTAAATTATTAAAATTTGACAAAATCTTCAAAACTTAGTTATAAGTTAATAATAATAAAAAAAAATACCTTAAGATTTCATGTTATAAATTAGATTTTTTATTATATTTTATG